GCAAACTTGCTGATGGTGCCTTTAATCCCCCTGTCTATATCATTGATAAAAATGTTAAACAGTATTGGCCCCAGCACGGACCCTTGAGGAACACCACTTGTGACTGGTTTCCATCTGGACTTTGAGCCATTGAGTACTCATGTCAGACTCAGACTCATGTCTGTGCTGTACGTAGGGATTTAACAGGAGAAAAGATATGTCCAAATCTACACATTTTTATAAAGAGTTCTAAAGGTGCTCTTTTCAGCCTGCCCACCATATTGCCCAGGATGTCGTTCTGCATTTGCTCAATGCCCTGACACCCCAGCACCAAAGGAAGACTCCAAACAAACAAGGAGCACATTCATCATCTGCTCGAATACAAATGCTACCTCGACAATGCTATTCTGAAGGCAAGGGGAAACAGTAAAACTCAAAGCATAATAACATTTAAATTAGCGGTTTGTTCCATTGAAAGATCTTGAAACATGCTGCCAATAGAAGAAATAATTTTGTATTATCTACAACGACAAGAACCTTGCAGGGTCTAAGTCACCAGATGCTATCTTTTAATTAATACATGAGCAAACCTCCTCTTACATATATAAAGGGCACCCAAATCAACTTGTTTCTTAAACACCATGCGACACTGCTCTCCTGTGATCTGTCTTCACCCCTTGAGAGAAGGGCCATAGAAAAGAAACACTATCTCTAATTTTAGGAGGCATTTGAAGTAACAGCACAGAAGACTGAGAGGCAAAGAATACCAGAAGCCCGCAAAACAAACCAAACTCACTACTCCAAAGTTCAACTCACTGCTCCAATGCCTGTCACAATAAAGATAAAAATTCAAAGGCAGATATTCAATTTTTAAAAACCCCAATTTCTATTAACCTGCGAGATAAACTGAAATTAATATGACATGAATATAATTCTTAATTTATTTTTTTTAAATGCGGTAACTAAACCGCACTTACTTCCTGTACATCCAGTTTAAAGATGATGTTCTAGCAAAATGGGAAGCTTGTCTCACTTCAGTGCAAGGTTATCCCTATTAACAGTTTTATAAGTGCACATATATTCTTTCTAGGGAGTTATCCAGAGAACACTTTGTTCATCAACGTGACTTCAGAGCGGCACTCCTTAATGCTTCACCTGTGATGATTTAGAAGTGTATTAGGGAGTTATCCAGAGAACACTTTGTTCATCAACGTGACTTCAGAGCGGCACTCCTGATGATTTAGAAGTGTAGGTCTGATCTCAATTTACATACACATCAATGGTTTGGGTTCATATCTTTTGGAGTTTGGAAGACTACCTCTTTTCAGCATTGCTCTGGGAAGACGTGCAGCCCCACCAGTAGCACTCCACAGCTGAGTAGGAGGATAGATAAACATGGAGTACTTGCAATGAATTATTATAATTAAATTTGATTCTATTCCAGCAAGGCACTTTCCACTATCTGAGCTTGATCTCTTCATATCCAATTAGATAGACAAGGCTCTTTAGAAGCAAAACAACAAAAACAGCCTTAGATTGTTATTGTTTACAATCCCCCTTGTTGTTTTACAGAATGAATGACAAAACTGCAATGCTTCATTCTGTAAATTAGGATTAAAGCTTTATCTAGGATTATTTACTGGGAGCCTGGAGAAAGGAGGAAAAAAGGACTTTTTGAGCAGCCACCCAAGTTTGCCTGTTTCCTTTCCCTCACCTACACTCTGTTCAGCCAGCTTCTTGACTGCTGGAAAGGTATTTGAAAGCAGACAGCGTTAGAAACTAGTCCTGTCTTAGGAAAAAAACCAGTCTAAGCAGCCAATCTAAACAGCACCATATATAAAGCTTGCTATAAGGTCACTCTGTCAACAAGCTTTGCTGAAGGAGATCATGCTGCCAATGCAGCAGAGAAACCATCAGGCCAACTCCATAAATCCTCCATTTTAAAATAAAATGGTTTTTTGTGATCACCCAAAAACAGAAGTGCTCACAAAAATGCACACCCAAAAGCAAGAGCCACAGGTCCCAGCACTTAGGAAATATCTGGAGAGTTCTTGAGCTTCATTAATGGAATGGAATCTATTGGTCTGGAGTCTCTTGTCTAATCATTTATTAGCAGCAGCAAAACACACTGTATTAGTGCCAAGCACCAATATTACCAAAGTCTGCTATTACTGCTGACTTCCAACAACAAAAAAACAAAAAACAACCAAGTCAGAGAGCAAATACAAATATATCTTAAAAATGTCAAGGCTTTAACCATCTGAGATCTGATGCTAAGTAATGGTCAGTTAGTGGAAGACACGATACTTACTAAAGTCTCAAATGATGGAAAGAAACATCATCCTGCTCCAGCCATGGCCCCTTGTCAAACTTCAGGTACTCAATATCTTCGATTATCTGGAATCAGAAGATAAAAATCCCATTAAGAGGTGGTCTGATCGGAACATCACAAAAAAAAAAATAAAAATAATCAATGAACGCATCCCCGAAATCAATGAAATAATCAAAATACATTATTAAACAAGTCACCCAGGAAAAAGGCCTCACTGCTAAACCTGTATTAACAATGCAAATGTTTAGGACTAACATATCTCCCAGCCACATTTCTGGAGGCCATGACTCTGCCATAAGCACTGGGCAGACACATGGGAGCCAGCCCTAAAGTTCCTCTTGCTTTCAGCCTTGGTGTGCAGAGGACAGCAGGGAATAAATGGATGAAGAGGTGCCTCAAATTCTTATTTGATCCAAGGTGCGCTTCCTCAGCCTGCTGTTGGGGCTGAAGGGAAGCAAATAAGGTACAACCCCACCTCCGAAGGAGGAAGAAATGGAAATAAGTCTAAATATTACCCCCTTTTGTTGCAAACAAACAGTACCATGCTACACACCAAGCCTTTCTTGTTTTCCCCCAAAATGGTTTAGTGGCATACTGATACAGACTGAGGAGCAACTGCCTCTCAGTGTTGCTGGGTCTGGTTCATGTTACAGAAATCAAGGCGTGTTTGAGGGTGGAAAACTCAAAGACCCTTGAAGTAGCCCTACTGACAGTAGTCCACAGGCTCCCGGTTTGACTGGTCATCAAGACCTACCCATGCATGCACCCCGAGCAGAAAGGAAAGGTAAGACTCCCACCTCCACCCAGAATCATTCAAAGTAGTAACACCAGCTCAGCAAATCACTCCTCCTGCATCCCCAAACTCATCAATCCCGTGTTTGAGCTTCATTTACAGACTGGCTCCATCAGAAAAACCAATCTTTGCTGGTCCACTGGGTAATTGCTTAACAAGCCCGAGGTTATCACACATGACTGACTAGTTCTGAAGGAAACCTCAACTACGGATGGGAAGATGCACTTAAGGTTCACCATGAGGTGGAGGTAATACCTTGAAGCAACTTGGGAAGGAGTGGATTGTTACAGCTCCGTCTATTACCACTTAAAAGGCAATAAAAAAAGTGCTATTACAAAGTACTTTTGACTAAAAAGGTCCACTCTATTGCCAGTATTAGGTTCTTCTGGTAAGAAACAATGGCTTAAAGATGTGACTGCATGATCATTTTCCTCGAGGCATTTATTTTTCTTAAAGACTAATTTTGCTGCTAAAGACTTAAAAAATACAACTGACATGATATCACTCAAGCATATTTAAAACTTCAAGCAAGCTTAGACGTTAACATTTTTTGATCTTTTCCAAAGAGGTAAGGTTGGCAAGCCAGACACTGTAGCTGAAAGCATAGGAAACCTGTTTTTCACAAAGAAAAAAGCTGACAAATTCACCTGTTGATGGAAAGGTGTTTCAGTCTTCACAAAGAACTACAGAAAAATGCACTACAGATATTTAAAAGAGTTTTCAAAATTGTGTTTAGAAACTGCTTCTTCCAACCATACTGCTGTAACTCCCCAGGATCAGCATTCAAAGATACAAAGAGGCAGAAAGGCAGATGGAAACTCAGTTCAAATATCCAGTATTTATTTTAATTATTTAATTTAAAAGCTGTGCCTCCACCATAGTTCCCATTAGCTATGCAAAAACAACTACTGCTCTACTCCACAGCAAAACTTTGGAAACTCCCCATTAATGGCTGATGACAGGACTAATAACAGGGTTCAGCAGAGCTCAGAATATGATACGGGGAAAGAGAAAACTGTATCCAAATTAGCTTTGCACATTCTTACTGTCTTACCAGAAGATATTTCTTCCAGCAGCTCGTCAACAATGGTATCAGACTCCAGAGCAGGCTAGAAAAGGAGTTTCTTAATTTATAAGGACTGCCCTGGCACTCTCTGGGGGTCAGCAGCAAATGAATGATTTAAGTCTGATGGCACCACAACTTGTGATGATGTCCAGGAGACATTGGGTCTTAATATATTGCACAGCACGGCAGGATTTAGAAAAAAAAAACAAAAAACCAATTTGCAATAATGAGGTTCCTTTCTGTATTCTTTGCAACTAAGGCAATAAGAACAGTTTCCAATTTCTAGGCTTGTTGCAGTGATCTGGGGAGTGCTGCTGCTGGAAGAGCTGGGGCATAGGGGGCCAGCAGGCAGCTGAAGGTGACACTCTTCTCCTTGACACCTTCTCTGGGGACAAAGACACCCAACGCCTATAGGCAGCTCTGTCAGCCAACTTCTCCCCAAACTCCTTCTTTTTTAAACACACATTAGCTAACTTTCTATTCCCAGTTTCATCCTCATGTAAAATCTGTCTGAAACACCGGAACAAAGTTTATTTCAGCACTTATTACTCCTTCAGCCACGACAACCAATGTTAATTACAACATGAATTGCAATTCACAGTATCTAGATGTTCAGCCACGACAACCAATGTTAATTACAACACGAATTGCAATTCACAGTATGTAGATGTTGGCCAAGAAGGCCACCAGCACCCTGGCCTGTGTCAGGAACAGTGTGGTGAGTAGGACTTGAAAGGTGATGGTCCCCCTGTCCTGGGCACTGGTGAGGCCCCACCTCAAGGGCTGTGTCCAGTTTTGGGCCCCTCACCACAAAAAAGACCTTGAGGGGCTGGAGCGGGTCCAGAGAAGGGCGACAAAGATGGTGAGGGGTCTGGAGCACAAGTCTTGTGAGGAGAGGCTGAGGGAGCTGGGGGGGTTCAGTCTGGAGAAGAGGAGGCTGAGGGGAGACCTTATTGCTCTCTCCAACTCCCTGAAAGGAGGGTGTAGAGAGATGGGGGTCGGTCTCTTCTCCCAAGGAACAGGCCATGGGACAAGAGGAAATGGCCTCAAGTTGCCCCAGGGGAGGTTCAGATTGGAGATTAGGAAAAATGGGTACATGGAAAGTGTTATCAGGCCTGGGAACGGGCTGCCCAGGGAAGGGGTTGAGGCACCATCCCTGGAGGTTGACATGGTGCTGGGGGACATGGCCTTAGACCAGAACAAAGGACCACAGACAGGTTGACACGGTGCTGGGGGACATGGCCTTAGACTGGAACAAAGGACCACGTGGCAGCCATTCTCTCAACCCACCCCACCACCACCAGGAGGAAAGAATCAGAAGAAAAAAAAGGCACAAGTCGTGGGCTGGGACAAAGACAGTTTAACAGAACAGCAAAGGGAACAAGAAAACACCATCAATAACAGGGAGGGAGGAACATACAACCCTCCAATATGATAGGACCCCCCTGCCTCCTCCCCTGGAGAGTACCCCTGGGCATGGCTCCCAAGGGATGGAATTTCTGTGTCCCTGCTGGATCCTGGGGAGAATTAACCCTATCCCCGCCAGAACCAGGACACACCGTTTAGTGACTTTTTTTATCAGAGTTATGTTGATGGTTGGACTAGATGATCTTAAAAGTCCCTTCCAACCTAGACAATTCTATGAAGCCCCAACTGATCTTTTCAAAGCACACTTCAGAAAGAAGTAAAAATCTTGTTTTCCTTTTGCTTTTGATTTGGGAAAGCCTGTTACACTTTCCCAAACTTCTCCACTTCACCAAACTAGTGAGCTTTCCATCTCAAACAAAGTAACTACCCTGCCACTTCTCTCTTCCCACCTGATTTAGGAATGAATCCCATACTGCTGTGTAAGGGTCTGGAACTATTTTCTAAAGCAAAACGCAATATAACCAGCTTCATATTTCTTTTCCCCTCCAACAGAGGAAAGAAGGGCATTAAGTGGACTCTAGAAAGATTATCAGAGCTTTCAAACAAGAAACACAGAGGATGAAAATATTAAAATCAGCAAGGCATATCTGAAAAGATATATTTAGTGCAGCTGGGATCTTTAATGCTACTACAGACTTCAATCCCAGCGAGGGATTCACCACGTAACTTTCATCCCTAGGACTGAAATGGGCCCACTACAAACCAGTCCGGAATCACAAAAACCTTGTTGCTCTTTCTGACAAAAGACAGCAGCTACAGAGAAAAGTTAACAACGGGGAAGAAAAAGGCTTCCCTTATCCCACTAGTGACACTCCCTGAGCAAGAATGTTTCCTGAATTAAGGCAAATATATTACACCTACTCCAAAAAACATCACAGTTGAGTAGGAGGAAGCAGTGAACTCCTGTTAATCACATCACAGAAGAGATGGCTTATTTCTAGCAATGAGAAGGCAACTTATCTGGCTTGGTCAAGGGTTAACATGTCCAGCAAAACCATTTGGAGAAAAAAATTGCTTTTTAGATAACAACATGCTAACCTCATAGAGATGAATAACCCAGGGTTACAAAACTTACAACAGCTCTGCTAATGCAGCTCTTTGCTGTAACCAAATAACATCTAGCTTTTAGAAAACAGGTATTTTATCACAACCTGGAGCGTAGGAAGCTGCACAATGGCAAAAGTCAACAGAGGCAGACCTAACACTAGTAGGCAAAGTCTTGGAAGTTTAAAAAAAAAAAAAAAAATCAACATATGCAGCAAACTCTTACCTTCTCCACATCCTCTGCCTCAGTTGCTGTGTACTGGAGAACTTCACTGGTTTCACTGCAAAGAAGAAAAAAATGGAATTCCTCTGATACAACTGCTCTACTCATCCTCTCCCCTCTGCTCCAAAATAAAGCAAAAATGAAGTTTAAAAGGCACAAACACAAAATGAGAATCATTACAATTTTTTGGAATGCTTACAGATTTCTTACAATAGAATTCCTACTAGACCTGTAAATTGCTTCTTTCCTAGTGGAAGATTGTTTTTCAAGGGCAAATGGCCTGTGGTGTCTACATAGTTTCAGTTAAAAAAAAAAATAAAAACCCCACCTATGAATTTGTTTCCATTTCACTAATGTGGATACTTGCCTCAATTACAATTTCCCAAACTATTTGAAGCCAAGTGACATTTTCAATCATTCTAACCCAGAACTTCAGTAGACTTTATTGACAAGTACATTAAGAGCTGTGGGTAATATTTAAGAGAAAATACATTCATTCATCATTTACTAAGACTGAGCTAGCCGCGCCAATAAAACATAGGCAGCAGGGTCTGTAAGTATAAAAACATTTTAAACAGGTAATACCTTCCTGGTTACAAGATTTTCTTACACCTACATAGAAAAGTCACTTGCAGAGCAGGGCCACGGTAGGAATTCCTGTCTGAACATCTTTCACTGCTACATATGCACAGCTGCCCTCGGTAGCAGTTGTTCCCAGATCTGCTCCAGCTGCCCTGGAACACCCTTCCTTTAGCTAACAAAACCCCAGGAGAAAATAAAATGCCCGCTACACACATTGTATTAAATAACACACAGCAAAGCTGAAGAGCACGGAGCAGAATTTGCAGACTTTTTGCTTAGCACAACCATTTCCAAGTTTAATCAGGACTAAGAGGAACTTAAGCTGCCAGCCCAAGTATTCACATTATCAAAGTAACTTATAACTGCAGCAGTCCAAACTAGTTCCTGAGCTGCATTAACACACTGGTCAGTCAAAATTGCTCTGGAAAAAGATTAACTTATAAAATGCCTTTTATTTCTACAAATCCCCAAGCTCTTACAAGCAGGTATTAAACTCGTGCTCCTAGTAGGGGAACTGCTTAAAGAGTTTGTTCTCAACTTGAGGACAAAGCAGAAAAGCCTAACATGACTCTTCTGCCACAGAAAGAAAATAAATGGCCTCCTTTCAAAGGGAGCTGCTCCCTTTCAAAGATGTCCTCACATCTTCAATATTGACTGTCGATAAACAAAGGGACAGGTCAGACTTCACCAGGGTCTTACAGTGGCAATTGCGTTAACATTGCAGATCAAATCACTTGATACTCTAAGGATTACTGTGGCTCTCGTTAAGAGAAAACAGCTGTTCAGTGGGAGCAGTATTGAACGTGAAAGAGAACAGCAGCAACCTCAGGGCTTTGGTGGAGGAAAAGAAAAAAAAATCAAGCAAAAGCCAAAAGCTGTCTGTTCAAAAGCACAAGGTAGCTCCTGCCACAGCTCCAGGCTCACAAATCACTATCAAAATAAGCATTAAATAGACACTCATAACCATGTCAGACCAGAAGGAAGCACCAATTTTAAGACAGCCAAATATCCACCATAAAACACCACTTCAGGCAAAATCAAATTGCATCAATTCAATGGAACAAGGTAACAGGAATTTTGCTAAGTAACAAACTAGATTATTTTCCGGCTGCGTTTCAAGAAAAGCAAAAGAACAAACAAACATAAGCTTGAACATGGAAAGTATGTAAGATTTTGTTCACCCCTCTAGAATAACTCTTTTTAGCCTGTTTCATAGAATCATAGAATCATTGAGGTTGGAAGAGACCCTTGGGATCATCGAGTCCAACCATCTCCCCTACTCTACAAAGTCCTCCCCTACACCATGTCCCTCAGCACTGCATCTAAACAGCCCTTAAACACAGCCAGGGATGGGGACTCCACCCCCTCCCTGGGCAGCCTGTTCCAACGCCCGACCACTCTTTGGGTGAAAAATTCCTTCCTAATGTTCAATCTAAACCTCCCCTGTTGGAGCTTGAAGCCGTTCCCTCTTGTTCTGTCGTTAATTACCTGTGAGAAGAGACCAGCACCAACCTCTCTACAGTGAACCAGATTTGGTCATCAGTTTGAACCAGTTTTGGTCATCCTCAAGAGTTGGGGAATCAAACACTTCCTAACTCCCAGAGACTAATAGTCAGGCTTGAATACAGTTCCCAGCATCTCTCTGCAAGCCAGCAAACAAACAGTTAAAGATGGCTGAAGCTTCTGTACGCTCATCCAAGGAAGAGACCAGCACCAACCTCTCTACAGTGAACCAGATTTGGTCATCAGTTTGAACCAGTTTTGGTCATCCTCAAGAGTTGGGGAATCAAACACTTCCTAACTCCCAGAGACTAATAGTCAGGCTTGAATACAGTTCCCAGCATCTCTCTGCAAGCCAGCAAACAAACAGTTAAAGATGGCTGAAGCTTCTGTCCAACGTACAAGCCATCAGTGAGGTCCAGATAGGTGCAAAGCTGAAATTTCACACGTTTACAACCTCCCCCACGTCCAAGAGACAGAGATATCCTTCGTCAGACCTGAGCATGGAGATTGATCTGACAAGCTGCTGCAAGCCCACACACCGATGGAGACGCCGAGCAGAGGGTGCTGGCTTAACAAGTGTACTGACCATGTACAGACACGGGGGAAAGAGTTGAAATCACAGCAGGAGCAGGGCTAGGATTTAGCCTCACTAAACACCACGGTGTTATTTCCGCAGCTCGATCCGATCCAAAGAACAAGCAGCGTTTTTCTCCTCACCAGTAAACTCAAAACGGTTCTGCCCTCAGGGGGATGACAGCCCCGAGGCTTCCCACCCTCCCCTTCCATCCTTAGCCCCTGTTTCCCTGGCTGCTAACCTTGGGGGGGACACACTGGGAGGGAGCTGACCACACATCACACCAACAGCTTCTGCCCTGTATTACTGGATCAAGCACTGGCTGACTCGAAGGTCCCAAAGAGTGGTGCTCAATGGATTCAAATCCAGCTGGTGGCCGGTCACTAGTGGTGTGCCTCAGGGCTCAGTGCTAGGACCATTTCTATTTAACATCTTTATTGATGATCTCGATAAGGACATAGGGTGTATCATCAGCAAGTTTGCAGATGATACCAAGTTAAGCAGGAGTGTTGACTCCCAGGAGGATAGGGAAGCCCTACAGAGGGACCTAGATAGATTGGATCACTGGGCCAAGATCAACGGCCTGAGTTTCAACAAGGGCAAGTGCCAGGTCCTGCACTTGGGCCACACCAACCCCCTGCAGCGCTACAGGCTGGGGGAAGTGTGGCTGGAGCTGCCTGGAGGAAAGAGACCTGGGGGTTCTAGTTGACAAGCGGCTGAATA